ATAAGTGGTAAGCAGTGACCCCACCAGACATGGAATTTTGGTTGCCAAAATCTACAATAAGTCTTCAATTTTGCTACCATATTGGTTGCTTTTGAGAAAGTTGGTTTGAAGACTCAAGATGACTTGGAACCAGTTTAATACTCTTTTGATGTTCAAAACACTCTCAAAATCTAGTTTACTAAAGATCATGGTGTCGTCTACTAACTGCAAATGGGAGATGACAAGTCCATTATTACCAATCTCAACCATTTTACACATCCCTGTTGTGGTTGCTTTATGGATAAAGGCATTGAAAGCTTTTACAACACTGTTGAAAAGAAAAAGAGAGAGCTGACACCCTCGTCTTAAACCTCGTCTTATTTTAACTTGTTTAGAAGGTAATGCATTAACCAGAACTGAGACTAAAGCTGAGGTGACACAAGCAATAATCCATTGTTGCCATATGTTAGGAAACCCCATCTTTTTCATGATAAATTCCTAGAAAAGCAATCAACATTGTCGAAGGCCTTTTGTAAATCCACTTTGAAGAAGACTCCCTTATCATTGGACTTTTAAAAAGAGTCAACAAACTCATTAGTAACAAAAGCGCATTTCGTAATTTGCTTACCCTTAATGAAGGCTAATTGATTAAGACCAATATCTTCTCCAATCACTATCCTGAGTCTATTGGCTAAAACTTTTACCAACACTTTGTAGACACTCCCAACTAAGCTAATGGCTCAATATTCATTGAGAGTGGAAGGGCTAGAACATTTAGGGATTAAGGTAATAGAGGCAGAATTCATACAAGCATCAAAAGTACCTGAATCATAAAAATTTTGTATAAAAGTCATTACCTCTTCCTCAAAAAACTAGCTCTCTAAGAGAAAAGAATAGTGATCCGAAAGAATCTTAATGTCCAAGTTCTAATCATTCGACTTCAACGCTGGGTTATGGCTACAAAGATTTTCATAATGTTACACTACCTCATCCTTGATACCTGGGGGATCCATAATTTCAAAGTTGTTAACCAATAATTTAACAATGTGGTTTTTCCGTATCCTTGACAAACCTGTGACATGAAAGAACTTGGTGTTCCTGTCCCTTTTAAGGAACCATTTAACTCTAGACTTTTGGTGCCATGATCTTTCCTCAATTTTAATCAAGAACAATAACTCAATTTTCATTTTCAGAATTTCCTCTTTATAAGCACCCTAACCATTCCCATTTTTCCACTCAATTATCTATCTCTGAATATCCTCTTCCAAAATTTTGATTCGATTAAGGCAATTGTCCCATTTGGAGGCTTGCCATTTTTTAATAGTTAGTTTGGGAAGTCTGAGTCTCTACCAAATATTACTGTCTCTCTTGCACATCTATTGACTTTCTTCCCATGCCTTTGTAAAGACTTTCTCAAATGCCTTTTCATTGAGCCAATGGTTAAAGAAACAAAAAGGTTTAAGAGCCCAATCCAAATCATTCGCACCCAATATGATAGAATTATGATCACATAGAGTGAAAGGTAAACAAAATTGTCTTAGGTTTTGAAACCTCATGAGAATTTTTATGTCAACCAAAAATCTGTTTAATCTGCTAAAAATCAAATCTTCTCTATTGTTGCACCATGTAAATTTACTCCCACCTAAGGGAAGATCAATCAA